ACACACACTACACACACACACACACACACACACACACACACACACACACACACACACACACACGTGCGCGCGCGCGCGCGCGCACGCATACACACGGCGGATGAGTACGTGTATGCTCTTGCTATGTTTGTAATTTGCTTTCGGAAATCTATTCGGCGGTGGATATTTACTATGATATATGTATTGTTCTTTTAATCTCGTTTATCTCCGATATGACTTCGTCATATGATTGAGAAGCAATTTCTTACGCGACAAGTAGGAAAGTTGCTGCCGGTGTCCTCCAGCTAAATAGATGAACTCACCTACCTTCGGTATTGCAACTTAGGATTTTTGAGTCCCTAGGGAGCTTTGCTTTAAAATAGGCCGAGACAGATAACTCTCTGCCTCGTGACTTTGTCTCTAGCACTTTGGCGGTAGATTAGCAGAAACAGTCGTTCCCGGGCACAGTAGCTCTCGTACTCTTTTCGCTCGTCCTAGGATTTATGGAAGATGTGATTCAGTTCTGGATGTTACTCGGGTAGATGATCACCAGGAAAGGCTTCGTTTGTGGAGGCGAATTTATACGATATAAATTGTACAGCGAATTCGGTCGATTACGGTTCGGCCGAATTCGGGAACGGATTCATTAGAACAGGAGTCGGCAAAACGCTGAAATTGGGCACGGACGTCCGCGGACGCTCGCCTGTTGTGCACATCTCAGAAGCACATCTAATATTTTCAGTATCTTGGAATAAAGTTCCGTTAAATTTTACACTTACAAAAATAGCGTTGCGTGTATATATAAACGATAATGTAGTCTTAAATTTCTAGTATTCGAATTTCTTTATAATATCTTTATCGAATCTTTATAATATCATAAAATTTTTTATAACAGTTTAGCTAAACCGTTTAAGGATGAAATATGCAAAAATATGTAATATATAGGACTCGTAATATATATGACTCAAAATGCATAAGTTCTTATGAATTCAACTTAATTTTTTATTAGTTAAATAAAGAAATGTGCCCTAGCATGTTTTTTTTAATAATACGCATTCATTATAGGAAAATTTTAATTCATATGCTTAGCTCTTTTAAATATTTTTTGTGCGACACAATATTTTTTGATTCCTTGAATAGCACGTTCAACAGACATTTCTGCTATCCCCTCTCCTCATTTTATTGCGTCTAGCGGCCTAACGCTAGCCCCAGCGCGCTCAACTGTTGCCCGCGAGCATTTGGGCGCCCGCGAGCAGTGCCGCGAACACTTGCCGACTCATGCATTAGAACATATGTTTAGATTCCGCGAATGATATTTTTTGGTTTCCTGCTAATAGTCGGAATTTCTTGATTCAGTGACGTAGCAATCGCGGGGTTCGTGTATATGTTGATATATGAACGGTGCATGCCGTGAAAAATCTTGTTTGTTTTGCGAGACCACGCGTTCGGTGATCAACGCGGATTTTCCGGCGGTGGAAGAGCTTTTCGTCGTGCCAGCTCCTTGACGAATAGTTAATCAAGGGCCATTATTTGATAAAAAAAATAGAGGTTCGTTATAAATGTCAAAATATATTAGAATAAAATACAAAATAATTTCTAAATTAACAATATTAAAATGTATTTTATAATAATAAATTCAACTAACATACTGCTAAAAAGAAAATAAAAATAAAATTATAATATGCTAAAACTGCAAAGCCTATGTATCTAAGACATGATAAAAAGGAAAATGATAAAATGGACATGATAAAATGAATTTAAATGTTATTGTTAATAATTTAATGTTAATCACTTGCGGATAAAATTTCAAGTTCACAAATGTGTGCGGGCGATAATAATATGGTTTTTGTCTGACTCACACATGAATCAGCCAGAATATTATTATCCTTGACCTTCACATCGCTACAAGGATATACTGAGATACATATCTGGATTTCATTCTACGTCATTCATTGCATACATGTATATCTAAGATACATCACATAAAGTATAAGATATTTTCTCCAAAACTACTAAAGATTATGAATTCTTTTTGCAATTTTTATGGTTTGTTGTTGAGGTCTTTTAAATGTCGAACAGAATACTACCACTAGCTTTTGATGTTCTTTCAAAACGGGATAAAAGAGATATAATCCCTATTTTTTAAAGAGTATATAATATTATGCTTTTTTTTTTACAGAACGTGATTCCTTTTAATTATTCTGTATATATGTAAAAGTATTAAGATAAAGTTAAAAACTCACAATAAACAATAACAATAATTGCTTAAAACAATCAAAGAGTCTGTGTTTTTCTTTTTTGAATTAACATATAAATTTAAAGCAAATACTTATATTGCGAACCACTTATATTGTCGTTAACATACATAAACTTGCAATGTAGTCCACTCAAAGCTATACCTTAATTTCCCTCTTTTCTTAATAAATCGATTTCTTAATAAAATTTGAAATTGATTAATTCCCCCACTCAACAAAATTCTTACTGCAAATAAGCATTTTCTTCTTTGAATTAATATTATATAAATTAATAACATATATTACTAATATATAAATTCAAAGCAGTTGTTTTGAATTTATATATTAGTAATATATATTATTAATTATATATTAATTCAAAAAAGAAAAATTATTCGACACAAAGATTCTATCCGCCGATTAATATCATCTATATTTGATTGTCTTAAACATATATCAGTTTGATTTTTGTTTATTGTTATTCTTTACGCGGCACTCGAAGCGTTCTTTCATATTATTTATCTGATTATTGTGGCGATAATATCACCACATACCTCAATGATCGAATGGTTAAGATACTCGTACCGTAAGTAATCCAGGTTCGATTCCTGATATATAGTAACTGTTCTACTATTATTATTTTTATATTATTTTTAGCAGCTATTACTAAAAGTGCTCAGATTCCATTTTCTTCATGGTTACCAATAGCAATAGCAGCTCTTACACCCGTTTCAGCTTTAGTTCATTCATCTACTTTAGTTACAGCGGGAGTTTATTTAATAATTCGTTATAATGAATTATTAATAATGTCTGGAATTAATTATTATTTATTGTATTTATCAGTAATAACTATGTTTATATCAGGTATTATAGCTAATTTTGAATATGATTTAAAGAAAATTATTGCTTTATCAACATTAAGGCAATTAGGGTTGATATAATTATTTAAGGTTTGGATATAAGATGAGTTAGCTTTTTTTTCATTTATTAATTCATGCTGGAGTGATATTTTTCGTAATAAGAATTTCGTTGAGATTAAATTGATTTTAAATTTGATTATCAATTTGTTAAAAAAAAGAAAAGAATTTAGCTTTGAGTGTAACATTGCAGGTTCATATTTTAACGGCATGTGGTTTGCAATATAAGCATTTGTTTTGATTTTACATATTAATTCAAAGAAGAAAAACTATTCGACACAAAGTTCCTATCCACTAATTAATGCCATCTATATTTGATTGTAATAAAAACTCAGTTGTTTACAAGATATTTTATATTTAATTTTTACATGAAATTTTCTGATAACTATACGTTAATACTTTTGTGTACAAAGTAATAAAATAAATCAATTAAAGCATAAAGAAGATAGTTTCTTTAATAAAAAAAACTTGCAATTAGCAATATGCAAATATATATACTCTTTTTAAAAACTACTATATGCTTTCTCTATACTAATCAATTTATTTCATTATTTGTATGTACAAAAATATTAAAATATGATTATGCCAAAATAAAATATAAAATATCTCGTAAAATATTGACTTTGCAACATTTGTATCTTGATACTTTTATATTCAGAATAATTAAAAAAATCATATCACGTAACAAAAAATATGTGATACTATTTAACAAAATGTTTATGTTTAAATAAATCTTGACAGTCATGGCATCATTTGCGAATAAATTAATATTATAATCATGTATAATAGTTCCTTTGAAATTTTACAATTTTTATACGAAACATTTTTTTTATAATTTTCTGTGATTTCTACATATTTGATTGTTTAACAATCAAATAAAATAGGACATCTTATACATATATTCAATAATTTCTTTTTAGAATATTTCGTCGTATGGATGAGGATGGCAATAAGAAACTAAATCTTGAAGAATTCAAAACGGGTTTAGAAGAAACCGGACTAGAACTCACTGACGATGAAATTAATGAAATCTTTCAAAAATTTGACACTGACGAAGACGGAAACATTAGCGTTGACGAATTTCTCGTCGGCATAAGAGTAAGTTTACATTATATAATTAATTATTAGTTTTATTTCTCTTAATTTTATTTAATGTATATTTTAGCATTATTTCATCTGAGAAAAAATTTAAATTTAATTGTATTTATAGACAAAATATTTTATGCATCATTCAACTGATATGATTCAAAATTATATTTAATAACTACATTTGATTGGTGATCGCAATATGCAATCCATTCATTTTTAAAAAATCGAATAAGAAATTTAATTGTTGCCATTTTATTGCATTGCTAATTGCTTTTCCGTTTTGCTCATTTCATGTCGTAAGAGTAGATGTCAGATGTCAATTCATGCATTTTGATAGCTTGTATAATTTTCACATGTACATAGCTGCCACACAACAGCTTTCTTCATGTCATGCGACAATTGCTGATAGTACGATAAAGACATGTACATACATAGTTGTCACATAAATTGATAGAATTGATCTGAATTTTATTTTATAATTTTTAATTGAAAAATATAAATCAGAAAATAAATATGCACATGTAGTGCGTCCGTAGTAATAAAATATATATACAGGGTGTTCCAAGGTTAAGGTACGAGCCGCATTGAGGGTCTAGAAGAGATCAAGGGGAAAAAGTCTAATACCCTTTTGTAATATTCGCTTTAATTTTCGAGTTATAAAATAAAATATCTGAACCAATGACGAATCAGAAGTACGACCTACTGCGCCTAGGTGATGTGTCGCTGTTCAGACGGCAATACGTCACTTTCTTCTCACCGCGCGCCGCGCACCATCAAGATGCAATAGGTCGTACTTCTGATATTCTTATATTTCGGATATTTTATTTTATAACTCGAAAATTAGAGCAAATATCACAAAATAGTATGATATTAGATTTTTTTGTTTCCCTTGATCTCTTCTACACCCTCAATGCAGTTCGTACCTTAATCCTGGAACACTCTGTATATAAGCTAGTAAAATATATAATATATGTAAATATGTGATAAACTAAGAATTCAATGAAATTAATATAATTATTTTTCTCATCAGCCACCAATGTGTCAGAGTCGCAAAAGTGTAGTAGAGCAAGCATTCCAGAAATTGGACAAAACTGGTGATGGACGAATCACTATTGACGATTTACGAGGGGTTTATAACGTGAAATGTCATCCGCGTTATATCAGTGGCGAGGAAAGCGAAGAAAGTATTTTAAATAAATTCCTCTCGAATTTTGAACACGGGAAAAATGAAGATGGCATCGTAAGTACTTAAATAATTTTTTTTATCGTAACAAATTCACGTAAATTAACGAACATAAAATTTTGTTACAAATTCTATTGAACACGCTCAATCACCTGTATACAATTATTTCAGAATTACGTGAATTCCAGGATATTAAAAATCGTGAGCAATCTTCGATAATTAGCTATTTGAATATAAGTAAAATATAAAAAATTACATCAAAATATTATGCATAATATATTGTCGCGTTCGCAATGTGAACTCGCATAAATTCGCTCACTTTCACTCACTCGCGGAAATAATTAAATCGTTTTACAAAAGAAAGGAACTTATTACGCTTATTAGCATAAGGCATAAAATCTGAAAATATAAAAGCCAGAAGCTGCTATGCTTTCTTTCGCGACCGCCTTCTACCAAACAATTGCCGTCGCGTCAGGAGGGAATGATTTTCTTTCTTCAAAATCAATCTTCATTGCTCAGTCGTAACAATATATATTTAAATATATGAATACTCGATATCCGAGTATTGCCCACAATTTTTAGTATTCAGTAATTCAGCTAATTCTAGAAAAAAAGAAATAATCAATTTGGATATTTACATTTTGGATATTTACATATTTCAGAAATTGCTTGATTATCTAAGTATTCAAATAATATTCATGAATTTAGGAATAGTGTTACAGTGTTCACTTGATGCTACAAATCCTTCGAAGCGTTTTATAATTGGTCAGTTGGTAAAATTCTTTAATTCTTAACCGAACGCGCCGTGGCATTGAGTGCCGCAAAATTTGTTTTTCTGAAAAATCATTGATAATGCAGGTCTTTTTTCTATTATCGACTTTCTGTATTCCTCATTTAACATATCAACTATAAGACAGTGCAACTGCCGTATATTAAGTAATTAGCTTTTTATCCACTTTAAAATCAGTAAGACACGTTTTGCGACACGGAGTGCCACGCGTGTCTCAGAACGTAAGTAAAATCTTGCTTATATAAATAATTATAATAATGCGAGATGTTGAACCATTCCTCACATTTTAATTTATTTTTACTTAAAAATTAATGCTTAATATCTCTCTAGGTTAGAGTTAGGTTATGTTTCAAAAAGCTCAAATAATACGAATTTTGAAATAATTTTAAAGACATCCTAAAATCCAAATCCTGTCCTAAGTTTCCTGTTAAGTTTCTATTAATTTCCTATAAGTCATAAAAATATTCTAAATTGAAAGGTATTCTGTAAATACTTGGATGGAGAAAGATAACATACAAGAAGAAATACTTGATTTTAGATGATTTTATTTTAGATGATTTTTTTTTATTTTAATCGATTTTAATAGTTTATTTGATCATTATCTTATAAGAATATTGTTTTATATCATTATTTTATATCACTATCTTATAAGAATATTATTTTTCTATGTTTGATTTTAAATTGATGTCATTTCTTTATTTTTAAAATAATTATCTTTATTTTTATAAGAAAGTAGACACAAAACTTTAATATTATAATTAAATTTTAATATTATATTTAATTATAAATATATTTTACTTGTTTTTACGACGATTATCCAATTATTTATCCAATTATTATAACTCCCAAATAATAAATTCGTGACACTCAGTGCCGCGCGTGCCGACAAATGTTCTGCCGAGAGACGCGCCCGGTTAAAGGTTACATTCCGGTGGGTTAATCAAATGCTTTGAAACATTTGTAGTATTAAATGAATATACTTTAAATATTTTAAGTAATAGATACTTAAATCCGATATAATTCAATTTATGTATTAATAGTAGTAATAATAA